GTCTATAGAGTGCTCCCCCAGGGGCCTGCCTGCCCTCATCAATGCAGGCAACATTTTACACAGGGTTGGCTGCAAATTCCGGGCAGCCAAACATAGTGCCTGGGGACAAAGATTAAGTTGGAGGGAGGGTAAGCAAGACAGAGGAGTCTGCTCTTCACAGAATAGCTTGATGCACTCATCCTGTTCTCTGCATGGTGGGGATCAGTTCCCACAGGCTCATACTCCTCCACTCTGTCTTCCATTACCACAGTGGTGGGAGGAGGAAGCACAGGGTGGGCATGCCCTCAGCATGAGGACTTCACGCCTCAGCAGCTGCCAAAGAAGAAAAAGAGCAAACCAACCACTGCCAGCTACACAGTATCACAGTCCTGGGGTTTATCCTTGGTTCTTTTTCAGCTCTATTCCAAGTCAGAGAAAAATGAGTAAGTCAGATGCAGATGCAGGGTTGAAGTCAGAACACTTACCCTATGGGATCAGAATATCACCACCTCCTTCACACACAAACCAGTACTGTAAGGCATTTTCAAGTGTACCAGGTTCATATGTGAATTGACTCCCTCCCTATCTGAGGTCTTCCACAATGTGCTCCCACTTAGGACTAGGACAGCACTTGCTCCCTGAGCTATGCTTGGCCCTGTGAATCCATTAAAGTCTTGACTGAGGATGTTGGGGACATAAATAACCACCCACTTGCAAGTGTTTTCAACTTCATGCCTTAGAAATTCTGCCAACACAACTTTAAAAAAGAAACGTGAAATTGTTGCCAAGTACCAAGGAGGTCACTTTTCTCAAAGAACCAGCAAGTATAAGACTTGCTGATGATACTCTCTGGCCAAGAAGGGCTGAATGTGGGGGTGTGGTGTAGTGGGGACTTCTTTGCTCTGAGACCCACAAACAGGGCTGTACCATTCATCTGCCATGTTTTGTCCAGACTGATGCTTCCAAGAAGAGGTCGTCATCATTCATGAGTTCCATGACTCCCCCAGAACTTCCAATGAAGATCTTTGCCCCCTCTGAAGGGAAAGCCCTGATAGTCTTACAGCCAAGATCCTTCTCAGGCTTCCAGAATACTCTATCACCTTCTAAGTACTCACCTATTGGCAAAGGAAGGGCATAGGTAGCCTGTACTCCACTTTCTTCTGCTGCACCAAGGAAAACAAGAATATCAGGTCCCCTGTATGCCAAAGGTTCTGCTGGGCCTTCAGTCTCTAAGATCAATGACCTTCCTTGGCATAGTTTTCTATCTGGACATCATCTTGCTCCCCTTCTCACAGGCAGGCTCTCCTTATGATTTTTGGATATTACCTCCTTGCTTTCCAGGGCACTTGTTTCTGATCGTGACCGGCACCATCACTCCATCTCTAGCATCTCTTAGGATTTTCCAGGACTCTGGAATGTCCAGTCTACATATGTTCAGCTCTTTTCTGCTTCAGGCCAATCTCCCCTCCAGACCTGATGGATGTTCCAATTCTTTGACATGATCTTCAGGGTCCATCTCCTTGGATACATACTCAGATTGATCCTGCCCTCTGGCAACCCAGCCTCTTCCACAATGGCCACAAGGTCTCTGCTGTTGTGTTTTCTTCTATATGGACGCTTTCTGTCCCCAACATTGAATTCATCTGGACCCTTTAAATCACAACCCAAAGCTGTGCCCTCACAGATACCCATCCTTACATCCGTAACCCATCAGACCCCACACATGTACTTAGCAACCTTTATGGCCTCTTCCACGACTCATACATTTATACTAACATTGCCATTTAATATATGTCTGTAGCTAATTAGACTCTAAAATATACAAAGGAAAATACTAGGGTTTTCTTACTATATATTCCTAGCATACTTTTGATTAATTTTAAGTAATTAATAAATTACTTATTAGAGGAATGAAGAAAAATTTAATAACACCAGTTATCTTTCCAGGAAACATCAAGCTGTTTCCAAAGAAATAAAACACATTTGTCAGCTCTTGCAAATTTATCTGATTTTTGCAATTTTTCCATCTTGTTGTACTCTGGGTAACAAGATCAAGGCAGCCATTTATCTTCAGGGTTCTATAAATAGCAAGAACAACCCCAGATTTTTACCCTTTTGTGCCAGTTTCCTAGTTTAGTATGGCCATTTAGTATATACCTGGAGTGAAGTGTTGAATGTTACTGGGTTTGAATTTGGGCCTGGCTGACTCTGAGAGCTATATGCTTACTCACCTATATGCTTACTCTCCTATATACCTACTCTCCCTGCTTTGATGTCATGCTCCTGGAAGCATTCCCTGTTCATTCTCATTCTTACAGAACCTCTTCTCTGAATTACCATAGGTTTTCTGGGCTATAACATTCAGTTTTTGGATCTATCATGCTCTATGCTCATTTGTTGGGGATCCATGTACACCCCTCCCCCATTTCTCCAGCTGACCTGGTATAGCAAGACAATAATGGCTGCCATCTCTGCCTCTCTGAGAGAGGGTCTAAGGTGGACTACAGAGTATCAGTCCTGCATCAGACAAATCTCAGAACTAGTTAGAGCCACACCCTGGCTGGAATGATGAGGAAAAGCAACAGGATCCATCAAGAGATTCCCCTATGATCACAGGAAAGAGTGGCTGAAGAATGTCCTGGGAGAGGAAGGATGACAACCGAGCCTTCCAAAGTGTTTGATATTTTAATTACTTTCACACATGTCCTCAGCAGCCAACTGACCACAAAGGGAAGTGTTGCTTTATGAAAATACAGCTGCAGATGTCTCCGGAAGAAAACTATGCAGGAGACAGTATTATTCTTCAGCATAGAAGACATGCTGATAGGGTTGTGAAAGTCGAAAGAACGAACCACAACCCAGTGCTACCTCTGAAGCAGCTTGCTTTCTTCTTAACTGTTACTTGCAGTCATTCTTTTTCTTATTCAGCTGTGTTCTGCCCCCAGTCTAACATGTCATGGTGAGGAAGCTATTCATTCACCACACACCATCACGTTGTCCTAACTGGTTGTCCTTATGCAAGCTTGTCGGGGTTTGCCAGATTTAGCATTTTTGTAATGGCACGTTTCACGGCTTAAGTACTTTTTCCTTGTGTTCAACCCAAACTTCTACCTCAGCTCTGTTCTTGGCATCTTCCTCTCCCAAGTCCTAGGGGTTGCCATAATTGACATTTTCTTCCAGTCATTTCAAACGAGACTCCTCTGAGTCCATTTCCAAAGAAGTAGGCCAAAGTTGTAAAGAGCAGGCTTCCTGAGTGGTGATTTTCCAGTTCATCATTAATCACTTCCTTGTGAACAACTGGGAAAATGAATTTCATGTGACTGTAGGCAGATATCAAGCAAAAATCCTCTGCTGGGTCCTGGGAGGATGTAAGTAATTTCACGGAATGAAGAAAAAATAAGTTTTCCATTTTTCTAACCTGAGGTTTCTCCTTCCATTTTGAAGTCTCAATGGTTTTCACTTTTATCATTTCAATCAATCATGGGGAATGATTCCAAGGACTTTATTTGTATAGTTGGTAGAGAGCAAGAATGTTCCAGTGAGTAGGGTGTGCAAAAAGTTGTCACCAGCCCAATGGGGTCACAGTCTTCTCTGAGGAATAATTCTTACCCTACATGTTAGAGTTATTAAATCAGAGGTCTACGGCAGAGGGAAAAGTAATGAGCCATGTGGACCCCTTAGTTCTAAATTGCCTTCACTTCCATGTGACCCAGCTCCACAAGATGAGTTTATTATAGGCGGTAGCCCATAACCAAGAGCTATTCACACTACAGAAGCACAGTCTTAAGAGGGTAACCCCAGACTTGACATGCAATCACTACCCCAAGGTACTTGGAAGCTCTGGCAGACATTCTGACTTATAATCAGTCTACAGTCTTTCCTTGGTAGACTAAGCAGTTGTCCCCTATCTTTTAATAGCAGTACATCGCTTGCTTTGGCAGGTGAGGTGACAAGCTGAACTGAGATGGACATAGGGAAACCTAGATTCTACAGCAACACATAACTGTGAAGTAATGGAGACCAAGGGATAACTTTACAGATCTCCGCTGGAAACTAACTAATCAACAGAAACAGTCCTCAAGAAAGTCAGCACAGCAAATGAACACAAGCAGCAACCTGGTTTACTGCTGTGGAGATACTCTGGACTGCAGCATGGTCTTTCCATCCTCGGAGAGAAAGCAGAGCTGCTGAACCCCAGGATGGCGTTCACTAGACAAAAGATTGTACTTTACTGTATTTGAAAGGCCACTTCAGGTGGACAGTCTTCTGTCTTCATTTCCTCTTCTTCCTCCTCCTCCCCCTCCTCCTCCTCCTCCTCCTCCTCCTCCTCCTCCTTTTCTTCTCTGGCATCATCACTATTATTATTATTTGTGAGTTAGCATATAAAATAATGGGTTTCCTCATGGCGCTTTCCTGCATATCAATACTTTGCTCTTAGTCATTTGCCTCTTCCACTCCCCTCCCCCTCCTTCCCCCTTCTACCTCTTGTCGGTTCAGTTACCACCCATAGTTACCACCCACTTCTGCCTTCACACCATGCATATTCCATTACATTCCTTCTCTTTTTCTCCTCCACTTAAAAGTCTGTTCTACCCTGTCATCCTGTCATAAGGTCCCCTTTCTAATTCTATGATCATAACGCATATTCATAGATGCAGATACACACACACACACATACCATGTTAAAATACAGGAACCACATATGAGAGAAGCCATGTAGTGTTTGTGTTCTGGAGGTTAGTCAGTCTGACAGGGATGAGATGCAGTCTGAAGTACTTTCACTTCCTGGGTCAGACTTATTTCACTTAGTGTAGTGATCTCCAATTATACTCATTTTCCTGCAAATTTTTAACTTTTCATTTTCCTTCATGACTAAGTAAAATGGCATTGGTAACATCACCACACTTAGTCTATCCACCCATTGGTTTATGGAGAACTAATCGAAGCTATCATGACTAGTGCACCAATAAACACAGATGTTATCTCTGTAGTAAAACTTAAGAGACTTTGGGTATGATCAGGGCCAGTGCATCTTGGCTCATATGGATATTCCAGCTTTAGGTTTTTGAGGAATCTCTGTGCTGGTGATTACAGTCTCTGCACAAGCTGACATTCCCGCCAGCAGGCTTTCTTCCTGCACAGTATTCATCAGCACTTGTTTGTGTTCTGGAGGTTAGTCAGTCTGACAGGGATGAGATGCAGTCTGAAGTACTTTCACTTTGCATTTCCTGGGCGGGTAAGGATATTGAACCCCTTTTCAAATATTCACTGGCTGTTTGTGTTCTTCTTTAGAGAAGCATCTATCTAGTTTGATCGTCCATTTATTCTTTAGAAGTAAGTTTTTTTGTGTGCTTTAATTTTTTTTGGTACTTTATATATCCTAGATATTAACTCATGGTGTGTAGCTGGAAAATTATTTCTCCCACTCTGAAGGTATTCTTTCTATTCTTCTGGTGGTTTCTTTTGCTATGTTAAGAGCTTTTTAATTTCATGCAGCCCAATTGGTCAAGTCTTCAGTCGTTTTCTATGTTATCAGAGTCCCTTTCAGAAACTCGTTGTTCATGCATGCATGTTTAAGTGTTTCCTCTACATTGCCCTCTAGCAGTTTCAGTGTTTCAGGTGTTTGATGCATTTTGTTTAATTTATATAGAGTGAGAGATGTGATTTTTATTTCACTCTTCTACAGGTGGGTATCCAGTTTCCAAAGTACTAGCTGTTGAAGATACTATCTTTGGATATCTTTGTCAAACATTAGGTGACTGTATCTGTGTGAGTTTTTTTTCTGGGGTCTCTATTCCATTCCATTGGTCTACATGTCTCCTTTTGTACCAGTACCCACAGTTTGTTACTATGGTTCAATAGTGTTATTTGAGCCTAGGTATTTGTAATTTTTCTAGTATTTTTTGTCTACTTATGATTAATTTGCTATTAGGGATCTTTTGTATTTTCATACAAATTTCAGGGTTCCTTTATCTAGTTCTTTGAATCACTGGAATTTTGATGGAGATTTTTGAATCCATCGAGCACTTTTCGTAAGACAGCTGTTTCACTATTTTCAATTAACCTATGAACACGGAAGTATTTCTATTATTTGTGTTTTCTTCAATTTATTTCTTATGAAGTTTTTGCTTGGATCATATTTAAAATATTCAGAATCAATATCCCTTAAGTATGACACAAGCAAAAACCCGGGGATGAGGGTGGAGACAGAAAGGAATCTATTTCAATTCTTTTTGGCTTTGTTTTGCTTGGCCACAAACTTTCTATGTAGCCAGGGGATAACCTTAAATTCATCCTAATTGTCCTGCCTCCCACTCCCAAGTGCTGGGATTGCAGACCTGTACCAACCTATCACTACCTGCCTTACTTTATACAACTTTTCATTCTAAAATGTTTCTTTGTTTAAGTTGCATCCAGCTTAGGGATTTTTATAGTTTATTAACCATGACATGAGCCTGAACTTGTGTTACACATTAGTGACTGAAAGAGGAACAAGGTACAAGATCCTCTCACAAGCTTGAGAGGAATAGAATAAGAGTGGCCTCATTATAGATTCTGCTTCTGAAGGTTTCCTGAGAAATAACAACCTTTCGAAGCTGTAGCTTTCTGAAAGGAACTGACTTACAGACTGAAGAAATATTATAGTTACACTAAAGATTCAAATTTAATGGAGACACACCCTGAAAAAGTGTCATGCCAAGCACTTGATCAGAGTTGGACAGCAGCTGTCCTTAGCTGAGAGGCTTCATGGAAGTCATCATAAGGTTGGCTCCTAGTATCAAAGATGAGGTCCATCTGGCCAACTTTTGTTTCCAAAGTGAAATCTTGAGGAAATTTACTATAGGCCTCTGAGCCTGCTGGTTTATCTTAGTTACTCTTCTATTGCTATGAAGAGACAAACACCATGATCAAGGAGACTTATAAGTGAAAGCGTTTAGTTAAGGGCTTGCTCCCAGTTTCAGAGGGTGAGTCATGGTGGCCATGGTGGGGAGCATGGCAGCAGGCAAGCACTTATGATGCTGAAGCAATAGCTGATATCTGAGCCACAAGGAGGATGCAGAGAGACAAGGTGGGCATAGGCTTTTGAATCCTCAAAGCTATCCTCAGTGATACACCTTCTCCAACAATGCAACACTTCTAAATACTCCTTAAACAGGCTTCCAGCTAGGAACCAGACTTAGAAATGCATGAGCCTATGGGGCCATTTTCATTCAAGCCACTCCATGGTTGAATGAAAAATAGAAAAAAAAGAGGGCAAGAATGTCTGTATTCTTTTAAACCAAGCAATAAAGGACTTTCTCTAAATGCTTAACTTGTTGTAAGCAATGTTTACATTGGAAAAACAAAGCAAATGAGAAGGGTGCTCACTTGTGATGTGTGGCAGTGATGTAGACAGCCACCTTGGCTAAAAGAGCCCAGAGAGCTGGAGAGAAGGAATTAGCACACCCCTGACTTTAGTATCATACAATTAGTATTTCCATAATTAGGTTACTGGGTGAAAGTGATTTAGCAAATTCGATCTGCAAGAAAAGACAATCAGGAATGTAATAAAGCCAAGAAAAATGATAGCAAATGGCACTTTTGTGATAAGTCCTCCTCAGAATGCCATGCTTGCCCAAACATGTGGCAAAAGGCAAAACCCTTGCCAACAATTTTGGCTCTAAGTGAACATGAGAGTTAGGGGGAAATATATACAGTAATCTGGTTTCCACAGTTGTAGTCATTGGTTAAAATATTGACGTAAAGTCTAGGAGGCCCTACTGTTTGCTTTATAGTGGTTGAGAAAGATTGAAAAGTTACAGCCATGCTATCATTCAACTTTCTGGAAAGTTACTGGCAGTTACTTACCTTAGTGTATAGGGAACTGTAATTGAAGGACTATTCGAGCCTCCCCCTATCTGAGGGAGCTGTGCACTCCTTTGCTAGAAAGCCTGGCCTGCAAAGCTGCTCTATGAACTGTGTGATCATCTTCCTTTTCTCCAAGGGTCAGATGTTGGCACTTATGATGGGATTTGTTGTACATTGTATATATAGCTTGCATGATTTGGAGACAGAAAATGCTGGAAACACCATTTCCTGGTAATTTCACACTTTCCCCTCTCAGGACTGATTCCTTTCTCATAGAAGTCACCCTCTTTGGTTCATATCTCAGAGGTCACCTTGGCATTGGCCCCTCAAAATTTTCATGTGAAACTGATGGTCCTTAATTTTCAAACTTGTGCTAGATGTGGGTGCAAGCCCATTGCATCATCATCACACCCCTCAGCCTTCACCCACCAACTCTGAAGGCCATGTTGATTAAAAAGCTCTCCCTGCCTTGAGCCTCCTGAAGTTCTGAGGTAGTCTTGACAGAGCTCTGACCATCTTTACTCTGGAAATCCTTGACTTTTTCTTCTGGTCTGTGGAAAAATAGAGAATTACCAGGCTGAGAAAATTAACTTCATTCAAATATTTTTCTGGGTTCTGGTGTTTATTTTCTCTATGGTCTGAAATGTGGGGCCAGCAGAAACTTCTAAGTCAATCAGCAGTCCCTGAGACAAGTTGAGTGGACCGAGTCCAGAACATCTCTACTCGTGTTACAATCAGAGAATGCTTGACCTTTTTCTCTTTTCAATAATGTGCTTCCATGATGATTTCCCTCAGGTAAAGGCTTCTGTAGATGCAGTACACTTGAAAACCACCAGGCTAAGTTATCATAGGTTCTAAGACTAAGGATGCTAACTCCACCATCCAAACCTGACTATTTTACATAGCAAGGACTAAACACCATCTCTCTGGTATGGAGAGAAGAGAAATATGCCTTGTATATCTCCCCGAACATTTTGCCTGACACATGAGGGATGCTGATGGGGCTAAGACATCATCTAACCTGAAGAGCAGCCTCTAGCATGATAAAGTCTTCATTGATGTCTACTTAGTCACCAACTGCAGCCCTTCAGAGCTACTGGAACCAAAATGTTAACTCCCAGCTAAAATTGGGCTATTTAAATGTAAACTAATTAAAAGCAAATACAATTTAAACTCCAGTTTTATAGTCATGTTTCTACAAGTTCTACTGTGTGGGGTTTACATGGAGGTGTGACCAGGTAAAAACAAGCCAAGTGTTTTCTGGCTGTGAGATAAATGATGTCGTTGTTGAGATTTTCCATCATGACAGAAAGTTCTTCTGGGTCAAAAGGTCTACTGAACCTCCCTTTTATAAAGCATAGGATGTCCTAAGAGAACTGATACTTCTAGAACACCAGGAAACACATGAAGCCATGGATCTCATTTAACACCTTTAGTAAAAATAAAACTCTAAAGAGGCAGTATGGTCTGCCAGTCACCAGGCTGTGCCTCCTGTCCTATGCTCCAGTAGCCTCCATCTGTGCCCACACCCCTGACATCTCTACCATCTAAAGACAGAGAACCCAGTACCAGGCAGCTCAGAAGTTTGAAAGGGGGCATTAAGTTTTATACACATTCAATCAGCTTCACGCATTTAAATAGAGACATTTAAACTCACATCAGGCACAAGCAGATGTGGTGGGAAATACTGTCAATTAGTGAGCAGCTAATTAATCTTTCTTTGCCACATGCACTCTGGCAAGATCTAGAAAGTGCTGTTTTGCTCCGAGCTGTGGGAGTGCTTGCTATGGAAACAAGGCATGATTATAATGTTGATTTCTTGACTCTGTGCAGAAGCTGGCACTGGCGGGTGGAGGGCAGCTCTTGCCAGCAGCCACCCCGAAGTTAGAAAAGGCAAAGGATTAGAAAGTGGAAAGATACTTTAATTAGTGAACCAGGGCATTTTTTGAGTCTCCATGTTTCATACAATAAGCATCTTTTATCCTCATAGTATCTTCAATTCAGATATTCATCACTGTATCTGATTTCCGAATCTCTGTGTGGTTGTATTTTGCAATATACAGAGATCCAGATTAATGAGAGGACTGTTGCTCTCCAGGACCTGGTCCCGGGCTATGCTCACTCCAAGAGCTCAGAAATTTCCTACTTTCTACTATATGTATGGATGGATGGATCATTTCTTCCTTCCTTCCTGTCACTATCACCCTGTAGCTACCCGTTTAGAGAGAGATGCCCTGAAAATGCAAACAAAAATTAGCATCTCTGTGTATCAGTCTGGCCAGAAATCTCAGTAACCACCTGAACAACCTCGTGCTGAGAGCATGAACCCTGTGCAAGCATGATGTGGGCATGAGGCAGTATGTTGAAGAGATCTTCATCTCATCCCAGAAACGGACCCCTGACCTCAGTCACAGTATGGCAGACTGTGCATTTGTGTTATAAAGAGTTCAAACCCTGGCATCAAGTTAGATGCTTTGACTCCCATCATCCCTTTGGAGTTGTTCGTTAATTTTATGCTCTGGATCCTCTGGTTGTAACTGGCCTTTTTACTTGTCTAGATAACTTCCATTGGTTCATCAAAGTTCAATTGAAGTAACTTTGACCTGAATCCTCTCTGACCACACTACTTTCCCAAGCAGAAGGGAGAACTGAACACTTTGGTTTCACTGTTAGGGTCTCCCTTTCACTTCTATATCTAATACATCACATTAGATTGTGGTTTATGTGGTTTATTAGATTGTGGTTTATGTTTATTATTGATATCTTTACCACTCTTTAGGATATGAACTTAACCTTTCTGAGATGTACTTTCCTCATCAATATACTGGAACAGTTCGGGTGGTGGGGGGTGGGGCAGGGTATGTATTTTCAAATTACCACTAAAGAGGTCATGTGGTTTGCCAGTCACCCATGCTGTACTTCAGGTTAAGTATTCCCCCAGACTCCATCTGCACACACCCTGACTTCATTTGCTATCTTGAATAAATGGATGGATGGAGGAGGTAAGAGTATATATGTCACTTTCAATGGAATGGTGTATGAGTACCATTTGGTCATGAAAAATGAAAAGATATTTACTAGATATGTAGTATGTATTCTGTTTAATAATAGCCTTCTCAAAGTTTAGAATTAATGTAAAAACTGAGAACAAGTTTGTTGAAAACCCAATGTTCTGGTCACTGGGCACATTTTAATTTCATTCATGTATTCATTTGTCCAATAAGCATTTTTCATAAGTATGCATATTAGAGATTTATGTAATCTTAACAGAAGATAGACAAAAGCTTTCCTTTGAAACAGTTTAAAGGTGATACAGGGAATACTGAAGCAATGGATAAGTAATTAGAAACTGCAAAATGAATCATGGACATAAATATATATGCAAATATATTTGTATGCAAATATGATTGATGATGTCCAGAGGTTGTAATTATGCTCTGATTGTAATTGAGAAAAGTTCATGAAATAAATGGAACTTGAATGGCCCTGGAGAGTATTATTTTGGAGGGACTGGAAATATTATACTAGACACAATGACATTTAACTTCATGGAGCTTACATTCTACTAGGCAAGACAGACAATAGAAACAGAAGCAGTAAATACATGGTGTCAGGAAGTGGTGGGGACTATGAGAAAATAAAGTAGGAAAAGAGAAAAGAGTGTGAAAAATGACAAAAAGTGCTGTTGGGGGGAACAAGCCCAAGGAAGTGCTAAACTGTGTCATTTGAACATCGACCTGAATACAGTAGGGGAAAATTGCCAGAAAAATATGTCAAGAAAGCCATCTCATGTAGAGATGGCATCAAGTGTGAAGTATGAGGAAAGAAAGAAGGACAGCCAGGCAGTGTGAACTGAGGCAAGAATAATAGAACATGTTCCCAGAGGGTAAACAGGAGCTAGCTCCAACAAAGCCAGATGCACCATGACAATGACTTTGAATTTCTTTATAGCTATGCTACAGGCAATCCAGGACTTTGGAAAATGAGGGACATGATTTTGTTTGACTAGTGCATTAAGAACTGATCTTATGAAATCTGGGCAAGGAAGTAAAAGTTTGGACAATGACTACTCAGAGATGATGAGGATAATAATGACCATGACAGTGTTAGAGAGCCAAGAGCTATTTTAAGTGTTTCACATATATTAGCATATCTAGTGCTACCAAAGCCCCTTGAGGAACTTACTGTGTTACTCCCTACCTTACAGATGGGGGAAGAGTGTAGGTGGTCAGGATGGGATGTGGACTCATGGTCAACACACTTCCCTAAGAAACACCAGCTGCGATGCTGGTAAGTTAAAAGCAGCCTGTGGATACATGTTGAAGGGAAAGCCCATAGAATATACTGATGAATTAGATTTAGTGTTAGAAAGTGAATAGTTGGTGAGAGGGAATTAAAAAACAAAATTGCATGTAAAATATGGTTTGAATATTTGTATAGCTTCAAATTCATGTTGAAATTTAATCCACAATAAGAGGTGAAACTTGAGACACTTGTAAGTCTATGAGGTATTAGTGTCCTTATAAAATGTTCTTTGCCATGGCCACATCAAGAAGGTGCTGTCTTTGGGGGAGAAAAAAAAAGAAATGTCCATATTAGTAGGCACAAGTCTTGATTTTAGAATCCCAACTTGGGGTGATAATATGTAAGCTTTTGCTGTTTATACTTTTCATAGTCTCAAGTATTTTGTCATAGCATCCTGAGTAAACTATGAAAACCTGCATCCTTTGCAATTAATATTCCAATAAGTAACAACAGGGAGGGAGAAAATCCCCTTTGTTCATTTAATTGCTTTTATGTGTGAGTATTATATAGTCAACATAAATATTTTGAAGCCAAAGCTCAAGTATTAAATATTACTAATTTATTACCAATAAAGCTACAGTGTTATTTCAATAACAAATAAATGGTAAGAAATGAGTACCCCCACTGCGCCTGTTAAAAAAAGGTAGCAGGACTTTTGGGAGACCATAAAACACTCTCCATTGCCTTTTGATGTTTCCTGAGTGAAACATACACAATCCCTAGAGTATAGTAGTGAAACAGCCTGAAAACTGAAAGACAAAGGGGGAAAATCCTTATGGATGACATTTTTCTGATTATATATGGTTGCTAGTGATCCAGTCACTTAGCAGTATTCTGAATGCCCACCATGTACAGGTACTCTGACAGCCTGTGGAGGAGGGGCATCTTTAAAGGTTAAGACATAGTCCTGCCCTCAAGGAACCTCTGATAATGTGAGGAAGAGCAATCTAGTAGATAAAAATACTATGTTTTTTTTTTTCTATCTGTAAATTGACTCAGTTTATCCATGTGATCCACAGTCATTCCCAATGCTGTTTTCCAATTGTGATCCACAAACAGCACATGACCTTTTGGTTCTGAGAAGGCTGGAGTGTGGGTCTTGGTGTTTGAGTATAAGGAAATCACGGATGACAAAAGACGTTCTGTTACAGCTGGGAAAGCTGGTGCGGACAGACCAGTAGGGATTGGTGAATTGGCAATGATCTCTCTCTCTCTCTCTCTCTCTCTCTCTCTCTCTCTCTCTCTCTCTCTCTCTCCCTCCCTCCCTCCCCCTTCCTTACTCTCCTCCTTCTCAACATGGGAGCTTTTTATTTTATTAGTTTTAGTGTTTTACTTGTATCTATTGATTGTCAAAACAACAGATTTTGCTCTAACACTTTCACGTATGCCCTTCCTGTTATTATAGCAGTCCTCCATCTTTGCACAACAGGGGACTTTTCCTCTCCATTAGGTATGATGGATACTGCATTCTTCATCCTTCAACTCAAACATTAATATGTTAACCATGATAGGTGTGGCAAAGCTGAATAGTGCCAGCCAGTATAAATGAACATGGAGGTGAAGCTGAGGCATTTTATGTTTGTTTTAGTGTTATGAGCAAGAGGTCTAGATAGACTTTGTTCCACTCGGAACAGTAAGGGGAAATTAGGCCTGTAGAATAGATAAGCCTGGATTAACTGTGATTACCTCTTCACTTAACTGTAGAGTCCTGAGACTTGCCTTCTAACTGAAAATGGGGAAGTATTTTGTAGGGCTATTTTGAAGATTAAATTAGATGGATATAGATAAAGATAAAGAACATGTATCAGACATCCATTATACTGGAGCTACCCATTATTATTGGAGCCTGATTCTCAACTCTAACCCTAGCAAGACTTAGGACACGGGAGATACTCCTTCCCAGGTCATCATTGCATGTCTCTAAGAGACCAGCTGTTTCACAGTGGTCCTTGGTTCCCCTCAAACTCCTTTGCCCCCTTGCCAGGTAGAAAGGTGGAAGCTCTAAAATGCTTTTATTTCCTTCAGGATGTAGGTATAGAACTTCTGTTTCCCACAGGGATCTCTTCATCCATACATTAATATGTTATTACATCTGTACATACATACATACATACATACATACATACATACATACATACATGGCATTGAACCCTACTATAAATCCTTAAGGCTAAGCCTAGCATTTTAAGTTTATACTGATAATAATAATAATGACACATAATCTTAATTTATGGATCATCAACTATCTGTCAGGGCCTATATGCTAATCAGTCTGCATAAATTAATATAGTAGAATGTTCAATGACACAAGGAAGTTTCTTTCAATCATTTAATTCATAATTACTTATGCTTTTGTCATAAACAGTAAAACAGAAAAGTTCAATAACTTCCTTTAAGTCACTAAATCAAAATGATTTAAATCAAAACATATACCTAAAATTACTTTATTTGTCTAGGCATGTGCTAGGCATTGTACAAAAGAAATTGACAGAAGATAATTCTTGTCAGTAAGAATTTACTGCTCAGAGAAGGCCAATCAATATCCTGTATCACTGAGGATAGTTCAATAATTATATTCTGCAGCAGCAGGAGTCAATCTTGCAGAGATGTCAAAAAGATAAGGAAAAGATGAAATGCATAAAACCCCCATTAGCAGGAATCCAGCTAATTGTAACAGTCTAAACTGTCACTTTCTCATCTTTCCCTGCCTTCATTTTCTGCTTCCTATTTTTAGGACACAGCGACAAATGACAACAACATTTCTCATCAGGGAGGTAAATGATGTGGCTGATGTTTGTGATTCCGTGGATGTGCTGGTAGGTGGTTGTCTCGGAGGGAGAGTGAGTGACAGGGAGCTGCCAGCAGACACAGGCAAAGAATACAAATGACTTCCCATAAAGGATGCAAGCAAGAGCTTTCCTGCAAGAAGACGGGTGCAGGGGAAGGGGCTTGCAGAAAGCGTGTGGTTAGGGATACAGCTTCTTTCTCCCCTACATGTTCTAAGCTGTAGCACAAACCGATGATGCTGACATAGTATGAGGCTGAAGGCAGAGTCCTCTCAGACTCGAGTGGGGAGTGGTATGTGTGTGGGAAGGCTTCTTTTCACTTCTCTGATATTTCTTTATAGTTTGGGGAGTGAAAAGCAAGCTTTCTGGTCATGTATCTACTGCTCCTGGTGCTGCCCAGAGCAAATTATTGTTTAGATACATGAAGGTAGGAATACATTTTGCCCCAGGGATGTTTACCTACATCTTTCATCTCTGCAGGAGCTAGTGTAAGTCAGTCTTGCACATTGCTGGCTAGAAGATGCAGGCTGCACTGAAGTACTCACGCAGTGCTGGAGTCTCTACAATCTAGCCATCCCAAGGAGACCCAGATTCCATTCTGCTTGAAGTCAGATTCTCACCACTAAGCTTTAGCTGCACCCAAACTTGAAAGATATACTTGTACAAGTTAGCACTGCACAACTCCAGGGAGCTCGCTGTTTCATGATGGTCCTGGAATCATCTCAGACTCTCATTCTCTCTTCCCAGATCAGGTATGACTTATGATCACAAATGCTTTCGATAACAGAAATACCCTAAATTCTTAGAAACCAAACAAGGGGAAGGGTTAGTCTCTTTTCTCCTTTATCTGGGTAGAAAGTAAGCAATACAACATCTGTCACATTCTAAGACTTCAAAACAGAATAGGAAAGACAATTGCCTGTGCCTTAAATTTGATTTCATATAATCATTTATTTGGGCTTTTGTACTATAGGTGGTAACAGCCTATCATAATCCATGCACAATAACTCATATTTTGGCTACCTAATCACTAGAACCCTTCCATGCTGAAAATTATTTTGTGAGCTTTCCACCTCAGAAAGAGTTCTAAATACTCAGTCTATGAATCAAAAACCTATTAGCTGAAAGTGAATGGTGGTTTGGGAGGTTCATTTGTAATTCATGACTACCCTGAGATAATCCAGGCAAGTAGAAATAAAGATCAGATGGGATACACAGACAATTAACAGATTTTTAGGTGACTGGAGATTGGGCAAATTAAGGGGTAATGTTAGCTTGCTCATTCTGGAGTTGAAAGCAGGAACTTTGGGGTTTTAAATGCCAGCATAACCTCTTACTAAATCCATGTCTCCAAAAAAAGTGGGGAGAGGGGGGCCTCAGAATGCCTGTCTCAGTTTAGTATTGCCATGTCTTTTATTCCAAATTAGGAGTGGTAGTTGTCCCATCTCCATTTTCTTGAGTTTACAGCAGGGACTATATGAAATTCATGAACAATTGTGGCCAATTAGAATTACATTATTTAATATGAGCAGCAAAATTTCCAGATGGAAGCTACAGTTCTTTCTGATTTCTCAAGTTCAGATAATACAAGGCATTTTGAATCAGCCTCTCTCTGCACACTTCCCTCCCCCTGAGAGGACCCCCCTAAACAGACTCCTCATCCAGGCAAGAGAAAGGTTCAAGGACCAAACACCTTGAGTGGGAGGAAATGACAATTAAACCAATTAGCCATTTCAAAACCTCCATCTAGTCTGAAGACAGGTTTTGTTCTAGCTTCTTTATGTTTCAGATGCTCAGAATGTTTTTTACATGCGGTAATCATTATTCTATAATTACATTAAATGCTAGCTTTTGCGATCTCTCTTGAACCCTGTGAAGCAGTAAAGCAATCCACCTAGGCCGTGCTGAACTTTCTAAATTAGACACAATATACTGATTTAATGTGGATACGGCTAAAGCCCAGTGGGGATAGCTCATTATTTGTGGTGGTAAACGTTAACAAATGGGCAAGGATGAAGTCATTGCATTTCGGTTTTCTCACACACACACACACACACACACACACACACACACACACACACACACACACATACACACACACTTCACAACACATACACACACCTTTCATTAAATTACTGCTCAAGGATATTTGTAAAATGGTAATCACAAGTCTTAATATAAATTAATATAAATTTACCAGAATAATCTGGTAAATAGACACCCAGTGAAGATACAGACTCTACAGACCCTAATGACCCTCTGAAGATCTGCCAGGCAATGGCCACCATGGACAGTCCAATTCTTTATTTCTGTTTCTAAAGGAGAAACCACTAAATCATTATTAGTGAATTTGAAGAATTTGAAGATCAGAGAGTGATAAATGTTAGAATCTGCTAACAAATGCCGATTCTTTTATCCTGTAATAAAATATAATATTTGGTGTCATCTTTTCTGTGGTTGAGAAATACTATATGTACTTAACAGATAAAATTCATGTTCAAGACTCTTGATTTTCTACAACTTCCCTCTGCCTCTACAGATTGCTGGAATAATCTGGTAAATAGACACCCAGTGAAGATACAGACTCTACAGACCCTAATGACCCTCTGAAGATCTGCCAGGCAATGGCCACCATGGACAGGGCCAATGTATTTTGCCAAGGGTCCAACCTGCTGTCTCTTTTGCCTGTGTCTACGCATTTGACAATTTTTCTTGTCAGAGAAAACCATCTAGTCATCATTGCTGTTTCCAGAGAAATCAAGCAATTTCTTCAAACTCCCATTAGCAGATGTTAAATAAAGCAAAGGCTAGAAGTGGAGAATGCACAGAATCCTCAAAACTGAGAGTTGAAAGGGTCTCTAGAAATCACCCAAGAATTTCTTTCTCTTTATAGAAAATAAATCTGAGGCTGCTTTCTTGGTAGTGGAAAGCTATTAAATGCAGCTCAAGTGTCTCTGGGGTATACATCCACTCCCTCTTGGTGCAAAGATCCCCCACCTCCCATTCACACACTATGATAAAAATGTGATATTGTGCTTGTATCCAGAAGTAATAAAGCGTAAATGTATGAGAAAAATGCATATTATGAGTGCATGCTTTAATTTTTCTCTAATGGAGATCTGAGAATATGACTTTTGTTTCTTTATTTTATTTTTTGGTGTGTATGTGTGTTCAGATATGTTTGAAGGTGCACATATGTGCATATATATGTGCAGGACAAAGATTGGCTTCAGACATCTTCCTCAATTGCTCTTTACATTGTGTATCTAGTCAGAGTCATTCAGCCTAGTGTTCACTTACTCTGCTGATCTATCTAGTTATCTTGTTCCCAGAAGCTCCTGTTTTTCCTTCCTGTGACCTTAGATAATGAATGAGGCCCATCATACCCACTAGATATCCACATGAGTTCTGGGGATCCAAACTCAGGTATAGTCATGTTTGTAGAGCAAATGCCTTACCCACCAAGCCAACCCCCAGCACCCAAAATGAGCTTTAAAATAGACAGTACAAGTTTCAAGTAAGTTGTGGTGGTTTGAATAAGAATGGCTCCTATAGGCTCATAGATTTGAGTGCTTGATTACCAGAGTAAACTATTTAAATGGATTAGAAGGATTGGCCTTGTTGGAGGAAATGTGTCACTGGGAGTGGCTTTGGGGTTTCAGAAGCTCATGTCAAGTCCAGAGTCTCTTTCTGTTACCTGTAGATCTGCTCCTTCTCTAGCATCGTGTCTGCTTGTGTGCCACCATACTTCCTGCCATGGTGACAATGGACTAAACCTCTGAAACTGTAAGCCAGCCCCATTTAAACACTCTCCTTTATAAGAGTTGCCATGATCATGGTGCCTCTTCACAGAAGCAAAACAATGACAAAGACATGTTCCAAAGTATTGTGGGGAACTGTTTTATAGGTGGAAATGAGATCCAAATGTCAAGCTCCTTTCTTTCATGGGAAACAAATCCCTTATGCCCTACATAGAGCCTGTCAGCCTTGTCACTCCGAACTCTGGGTCCTTTGGTGGAAGCTTTTGTTGGGTTGGCAATCTAGCCTTTCTCTGCATGTTAAAGCCCCCAGTCTCCCCAAATTGTAAAGGATTGGAGGAAAGTGCTCAGGTAAACCAAAATATCCTGTTTCATTCATCTTTTACCATTTATCGTTTTGTTAAAGGTAATTTCTTAAACCCATCCTTCCTCCAGCTTTTTATGCATAACTCACTCAAAACTGTGAAGTCTACATAGTCAATTCCTGAACATTAAAATTGATTAAACACAGGGGAGCATAGATCTGGATTGTTAGATATATGCTATTTAATTGGTGGATTAAAGAGACTCATTAGATGAAATTATATTGATGCCTAAACAACTTCTCTCATTTATATCTCATAAAAAGTCAAATTCTGATTACTGTAATCATTCCTTTCAAAATGTAAAAATATGTGAATATAACTCCATAATGAATGAGAATCAGAAAAATGATTCTCATTTGTCACCTGTCTAGGTCTTCAAGACAAATTAAATTGCTATTATTTCATTTTCTTAAATTCCACTTGGTTTCTGTTAATGCTTTAGTGATAATGAACAAAGCTTAACAGTCTCCCCAAATTCAATCTTCACAAAGAAATGCCGATGTAAATGGGAAGGTCTGATGGAGCTGAGGAGCCGAGACCCGCCATTTTGTTTCATGTACATGTTGAGTGTTTAGTTCAAAACACAATGCTGTCATCCTCTGTTATTAGAAATAAAGAACAAAGAAAACCTTCTTGTAACAGAGTTTGCCATGCTAATTTTTTTGTTTGTAGATAGAAAAGACATTCCATTTTCAGGGCCTCCTCCATTGTCTTCCCTTTGAGATTCACAAGCAGCGAGCCTGGCAGCTTTTTACAACATGAGGAAATGGAGCCACCCAGGGACTGTACAAAGCTTCAGTATAGGAAATAGAAGAGCTGTGGGTTCAGCCTCTGTCTTCACATTTCAAACCCTGTGTTCTCTTTTCTCTACAATCCCAATTACTAAAACTTGTCACTGAAAGTGATTCAATTGTGAGTAACTATTGTATTTTAAGTTATTAACGGAGATCTCTATCCTTGGTTTTATGATCTCTTCCAGGAACCAGTCCTTCCTGGCTTTGTGATCACCTTGAAAAACAATACAGAGTAGATGTCACACTCCCAAAATGTAATGAGGCACATGAACAATGGAATCATTCCTAATAGAGAAGATATTTTGTCCCAGTAGGAATAAATGAACCATTTATTGCCACTGAAGTATGAAATTTGTTTCTAATGTAGTTAATAAATGCAAATAATTTCCTTCAACTGCTAAGAGGAACTCAACTAAGCAAGACAATGAGGCAATGTTTTTTAAACTGAGTGTGACTCGGAGACTACAGTGCATAAAAGGAAATGCAAACTGTGACACTGAATTGTTTAAATAACAGAACCATAGGAGCCAGGAGTGTGGAACCAGAGACAAAGCCGTACCTTAATAAATCAACATGGCCATTTCCTCACCTCCATCAGTTTCAGGCAGTCAGAAACACCGATCCTAAGACGGAAGCCAGGTTGTCATTCACAGACTGCTCTTGACTGAGCTATAGGGACAAAATAATACAAATTTTATCACCCAGGATGGAAAGATCTTGGGACACAAAATAAGGGTGCTGGGGGGATCCCCCTCCTAATTGCTTTAACTTCCAAAATGACACTAGTGTTTAGCTAAGAGGTCTGTAAACTGCAATCTGATTAATTCTGGCTAGTGCAGCCCCCACGCCCAGGGTGAAAGCATATTTTCTGGCTTTCAGTACTTGGTTTTACAAAGAAGGTCTTTTGCCCTTATAAGAAACAAAATCACATTGCTTGGCACATGACATTTGAAGAAAACTCACACTTTGGATTCCAAGGGGGAGTCTCAAAAAGCCTGGGGCAGAAACGTGTGGAGAACTGGACACCATTCAGTGCTTGTAATATGCAACACCAAATCTAGGGCTTTGACAATAGCTTGAGAGCAGGAACAGAAAGTTTACATTTTCACTTCTGTATCAGCTTTTCCCTTAAGTCACTTCTTTTTGCCCACCTCCTCCACAGCTTCCCCTTTCCCTCTCATTCCCTGCCCTTTCCACACTTCCTGCTTGCTGGTGGCCACAGGCTGTATGAGGCTGCACTGCCTCCAGACCTGTCTCCAGGCCTGCATCACCAGGAGCCCTGCTGCTTTCTAGGCCTTTCAAAGTTCCCTGAAGAAAACTTGCACAAACCAAGCACTTATGCATATGGCAGGCCCCATGCAGAGCTCTCTGAAAGTCCATCCAGATCACAGATGCTACAACTCTATCCCTGGTCTGGTCTGCAGAAGCCAGGTGGCAGATACCTCCGGAATAAACAGTAAGGCCTTCTTAAAAGAAAACAACAGCAGAGGCTGGGGTGAGGCTAGTGCATGGCACTTCTGAAGACACCAGTGGGACCCAAAGGTTAAATTACCTTCCAGGAAGTCCTGTTCTATCTCGAGTTCTAGGACAAACATTTTGAAAAATGTCATTTTGGAACACCCGAGCCACCAGTGTGATAATTCTCAATCTTACACATCTCTGACTTTTTTTTTTTTTTTAACCTAAATATAAACTAATCCCCAAGGGAGAAAAGTAACTGAGGGCAGTGACTCCCTATACTAAGAGAACAAGTGCTTTACACAAAGGGGAGCCAGGCTGATTATGTTTCTGATGTACCCAAAGGGCCATTACAGCAATTGCTCAAACTGCCGCTAACCCACCAGGGTGACACAATACCACTGCACAGCAGAGGCATACCTCTCATAAAAGCACTGCCAAGTCCAAGGCCTGACTTCATCTCAAGCACAGATCACCCATTTTTACCTCTACCCACTTCCACTAAGATTACCAGTTTCAATATAAATGGATTTATTAATAAAAATTGGCAGGTAAAGATATACGGTATGGGGTATATACTTCAATCCCTATAATCAAACGCTACATATAATATATTGGGTTGTATAGTGTTTTACTATTTCAAATTTTTTCCCAAATGCATCTTTCAATTTTAAAAGAAGGTGTACATTTCTTTAAAAACTGTCACATTGCCCAAAATATTCATTCTTTGCATTGTATTTTTTGATCATGGATTACCCATGGCACTATTTTCCTATCCAAGTCTTTAACGTTGAAGGTGAAACAAAACATTGACCTGCCTTACAAAAGTTTGTAGTGGCAGTTTCTTTGCTGAATTAAAAATAAACAAATTAAAATTTTGTCCTTAACAAGAAATGTTATTCCTTCATGGGAAGTAAAATAGTATGTCCAAGATACTGACTCTCTTATAAAAAAAAAAATTCTCAATTCCCAGTGACAACATCCAGAGTGGTATTATTTCATTAAAATAGGGTAATTTCTCCAGCACTCAGAGTTAATATACTGACTTTGCACAGGGAAATCTTATCTTCATGTCTCTGTAGACTCTTCCATCAGCACTCTTAGAAATAATTACACTGAGCATGGCTTGATGACTCAGGCCTATAACTCTGGTGCTTTGAAAGCAGAGGCTGGGGAATCCTGAGTTCCTTTCCCAGACTGGGCTGTAATAGTGAGTTCAGGGCAAATCCTGGGACATAGTAAGACTCTGTCTCTGAAATCCAATAATAATAATTCACAATATTATTATTATTTGAATTTTATTATTTGGTTATTATTGCTATTGTTGAGCACTTCTGTGCTCCATAACTTTTTAGAATGTGCTAAAGCCTCTCAGGAGACAAAAGTCAGATAAAATAGTATTTAAGTCTCAAGTTTAAAGAAAGATATTCTAATGTTTGCTTCCCTTGAACACTTCTGCACTGCCAAGAGGGGAGAAAATGATACTTGGAAATCAGACTAACAGTTGACTGGTGTTAGATGAAGGATTTTCCCCAAAGATACATTCATATCCTATTCCCTCAATCTTGCAAATGTTTGGAAAATTGAGTTCTCTTATTTGGAAAAGGAGTCTTTATCCATGTCATTAAGGATTTTAATATGGGACCTGCTTGGGATATTCAGGTAGGTGAATGACAAATACTACTTTGTCTTCTCTGCCTCCTCC